TGGACCGAATGCATGCTGCGATCTCACACACACCTGAGGGACACACAAACAAAGAAAAAGTTGATTTATGTGAATTGTAAAACTGTAGCTTCCATCTAGGTGTCCAAACTTTTTTCACCGAGGGCCACATACAGAAAAATATACGAAGGGCTCGGCCACTCACTGGAGGTATTTTGCCTCATAAGTTCTGTTATAAGTTGGAAAAGTCAATCCAGTGTAGGTAAATTATTCTTGATACTTGAAAATGCTTTAATAAAAAAACTGCTCACAGCTCTCCAGTGGGTTTCATTTATTTTGTAGGCAGCTCATTCTTAAAACAGAAGCCTCAGATTTTTATGATAACTCTAGTTGGGCTTTTTTATTATAAATTTAGATTTGTTAGAACGTGTTTTCAACTTGAATTGACTGAATTTATTTGAAAATGTGGCTTATTAACACATGAATACTGTGATATATATTTGAACATATATATTTTAGAAGTACAATATAAGACAAGCAGAAGTTTATTATACTTAAGTCATTATAGTTTTTTAATTTGCCGATTCCAAATGGTCCGTGGGCCGCATTTGGCCCGTGGGCCGTAGTTTGGACACCCCTGATCTAGGACAATAACACCATTTATTACCCCATCCCATATTGTTTGGGTCAAATTTGACACATTCAAGGTACGATTCCAGGTTCCTAATGTGCGGACTGAGGCTGGAAAAAGGAGTCTTTTTTATTCTGGTTCTTGGTCTTGGAATGACCTTCAATCAAGCCTCAAACTGACGGCACTTGTCTCTATAGCCTGTTTTAAATTGAAGTTGTCTGAGGTCCTTACCACCAGCTGCTCTTGCAGTAATAAGTAGTGCCTTTCTTACTTTCCTAATGTGCACACTGTAGTGACTGCTTTTTTCATCTTTTGTTTTCTTAGTTATGTTCTCTGTATTTTATATGTTTGTGTTATGTGTAACGTTGCTGCCTTCTTGGCCAGGTCAGCATTGTAAATTAGATTTTATCTCAATGCTTTTTATCTGGTTAAATAAAGTTTAAATTTTAAAAAAAAGCCTTAAAGACAAAATGGTTATCATTTTTGATTTTGAAAGCCTCAACAATTGTACTTTTGTGGTGTTACTGGTTAACTTGTTAATAACTTCAAATGCAAATGTCCTAAAAATATTCAGATTTTTTTATATTAATGTGTCTCACTGCCTTTAGATGTTCTGCTGACACACTTTTTGAAGATAATCTGGGATTTTTGCGGAGGATTCAGGACAAAACATCCACTAACCGGACTACCTGGGGTTACCTGCAATGTGTCATTTGCAGGCGAAGAATCTCGTACAAATTCATCCAAATCAAACCAGTGGTAAGTTATTTGTAACCTCACAAATGTAGATTTGTCTCCCCCCTGTGTTTAATAATTGACATGCCTTCTAATTCTCTTATTATTCCGGGCAAAGAAACCTATGAAGTGGCATCAATAATATAACATGAGATGTAGCTACATGCACATCTATTGAAGTGTTAATTAGAGAGCTTCCCACAGCCTGCTATATATAGTGGAGCGGCCTATCACACCTTTAGAAATCCTATTTAAAACGGATGTAACAACGTCTTGTCCCGCTCCTAAACAGTCAACATGAGGACATGAACCTCAGCTTGCATAACATACGAAACCAGAATCATAATTTTTAGATTGAATATCTCCTGATTTACAGAGTGATAACATTTCTTATCCTTTTCTATTTTCTATAAGAAGCAAAAAACATTATCCTGACAGCAGCAACAAGTTAAAGATAAATCCGACAGTGTGACACCTCGCATTTTAAACTAAACTCATTATGTTGATCGTGACGATGGTGACCTTCAATAACACATTTTTAAAAAGTTGAATATTTTCAGGAGGCTTAGCTTTTAAAGTCCGATGAGGTTAGACTGCTCTTATCTTCAGACGCTCAACGTGACGCGGTGCGACATAATCCCTCTTTAGCTCCGTGTCTTTATTCCTAAAATATCCTCCACCATCAACCATGATTCCTCAATGACTGCAAATAAAAGGTTTCCAAGGTGAAACCAATCAAATGATAACGACAAACCACGGAAACAGTCATGAGAGAGAATGTAATTACACAAAAATACGCCTGACCAAATTATGAACACTGTTTTCAAGTCTTTTCCCTGCCTGAAAACACACATTCATTTCAAGGGTATTACATTACAGTTGTATTAGCTCAGTTTACATTTGAATGAAGGAACAACAAATTCAATTAGTCTATAACAACATTAGATATATTATCAAGACATTACAACATGAGCAAAATAGCAACAAGTTAGGACGTGTTTTAAGATGGGCAAGTAAAACACCAAACATGATTTTACCATTGAATTGTACTTCTGCACCTAAATAACCATTTAACCCCTTTTTACCAATTGTTTTAATCCTTACACCACACCTATTCTTCAACATCTCTCCAAACACTACTCACATTTTTAGGAAACATTGTCCAAAGAGACGAGAAAAAGCTGGAGAATATTTCCCTGCCGGGACACACCGGGAGTCAGCACTATGTGGCTTTGTGTGTGTGTGTGTGGGTGTGTGTGTGTGTGTGTGTGTGTGTGTGTGTGTGTGTGTGTGTGTGTGTGTGTGTGTGTGTGTGTGAGGGCTACCTTTGCAGGTTGAGTCACACACTAAGATAGCAGAGCCCCCAGTAAAATGGCAGGCGGTAATCAGGTGCACAGAGGGGGGGAGGGAAGGATGGCGGGTGGAGGAGATGAGGAGAAGAGGGGAGGGAGGCTAAGGATAGGACGAAAAGCCTGCTTAAGGACCTGTGTGTGTGTGTGTGTGTGTGTGTGTGTGTGTGTGTGTGTGTGTGTGTGTGTGTGTGTGTGTGTGTGTGTGTGTGTGTGTGTGTGTGTGTGTGTGTGTGTGTGTGTGTGTGTGTGTGTGTGTGTGTGTGTGATACAGTATGCGTGTGTCAACGATGTTATAGGTTTTCAGTTTTCAGTAAATATTACCCCCTCTGTCTTTTATTTGGTTCTCTTCAAATACTTTGTAGATGCAATCCTTCCCAAGCACGTGTGTATGTGTGTGTGTGTGTGTGTGTGTGTGTGTG